ATAGGGTTAAGGGTTTAGGGAGTATAGGTCATATATGGGAACCCTCAGAAAGGGACTCCCTGAAGCTCCCATTTCCTCCTCGCAAGCTTTTGCTTTGTCGAAACGCTCTGGGCTCTGCACTCTTGGTTGCTAGGCCGGACCAGGGTCCCTCAGTAGCCAAACACTACTGTAGTAATTAGTCTCCATGTCACTATTCCTGCTAGTACGAATAACAATTGGAACATACAAATATCATACTAAAGCCCTCAGAAAGGCCACTGATTCCAAAGTGCTGGCCTCGGAAAAGTGGCAAGACCGTGCCAGCGAAGAGCAAGTCTTCAGCACCTGTACGAGGCCAGGCGCGCTTGAAAGCTAAGGACTGGCCGAACTTGGGGTCGCTGAGTCTCAGACTGGCTTTCGTTGCTTCAACCTCTTGAGCCTACATGATAAGCCGTCAAGTGTTGACCACGGCAACAAAGCAAGGATGTCAGCCACGACGCAACAACTCTGCAAAGTGCAATGATGCCTGCGATGCCGGTTTGCTGCTCTGGCTTTCCACAGGCCTCAGGAGCTGATCAGGACTGACATTGGGTCATGCTTTCAAGGACCTCTCTGCAGCCAGTCTGTTAGTGGTCTGACACTTGCCCAGGCCTGAAATCAGGCGGCAAAGTGGAAGAGGGCGCCCAAACTCGCAGAGTCTTGTCGTCGGAACCTCGCAACTTGCGACATGTTTGAGGCGGTCGTCGGCCTTTGAGCCGGGTCAACACCTACAGCCTCTCGAAAGAAAACTGGATGTTTGAAGTACGGGCGGCGTGTTGTACTGTTCTTGAATGGCAGGCAACTTTACCACTCTTGCCAAAGGATTTCGGACATACTGCTCGGACAGCGCAGCTTCCACAGGTCAGCAGCTTGGTGCTTTGCACTCGCACCGTGACATCTAACTACGAGGCAATGCTGGGGCAACTCAACCCAATGAGGCACGCGGATGGAAAAGCGAGGCAAAGCCTGAGTCGCAGGCAGGTGACAAAATGTGAGCCCACGGCGTCAAAGCTCATGGCCCAAACCTGGCAAGCGCCAACGCTGCTTGAAGGGCTTGCAACGGCTTGCAGACTGAAGCATGCTGAAGCAAAGCGAACAACTGCAGAGCGGATGATGTTCGGCACAAATAATACTGTTTTCCTGGTTCATCTTGTAGCTCGATCTGAGCCCGTTCACAGGCGCCAATGGCTGCGCTGTATGACACCACAGTTGCTTGAATTTGGCTCTGGGTGAGTTCTGCCAGCAGAAGAAGAGCCAGCTGCCACTCAGCTGCTTTTTCACAGGCACTGATTGCAGCATTCAAAGTGATCACCGATGCCTGTATACTGAGGCCTGGAAGGCTGCGCAGCATGCTGAGAGCTTGCTGCCATTGCGATGCTTTCTCACAGGAGCTGATGATACTGCTGTGTGTAACAACATCTGCTTGAAGTCTCCGATAGCCCAACTCTGCCAGAACGGACAAACCGACAGCCCATTCTGCGGCTCGCTCGCAAGCGGTGATAGCCGCATTGTACAGAATGATGTCCGCCTGCAGTCCTGCATCTTCTGCAACACGCAACAAAAGAACCGCCAGCTGCCATCTCGAGGACTGGCCATAAGCACCAATAACTGAGCTGTAAGAGACAATCGTTGGCTCCAAGCGCTTTTGAAAAAGCTCACAAAACAACAGCAGCGCCCACTGCCAGTGATCGGCTTTCTCGCATGCACTCATGGCAGCATTGTAAGTGATGACATCAGCTTCCAATTGGCCCTGAATCACTCCACAAATGATGGCCAACGAGCGCTGCCACAGATTCGTCTGCTCGCAAACACTCAACGCGGAGTTGTACGTCACATCATTCGGCTGTAGATGTTGAAGACTGATTGTGTTGACGAGAGCCAATGCACGCGTCCAACCGTCAAACGAAATTGAACCGATCCCAGCATTGTGTGTTACGATGTCGGCCTGCAGGAGGTACTTCGAGATGTCTTGCATAAGTAGCAGTCCGCAAGGCCACCGTGATTCACGGCAGCTGCTGACTGCTGTATTGCATGTAACCCTAGTGGCAGACACCTTCTTGCCAAGCATGAAGCACATGCAAGCCAAGGAGAACTGCCATTCTCTGGCCGCACCACTAGCGGCCATGATTGTGCTGTAGGAAACAACATCTGCCATCAGGCGATTCCACCCAAAGCCAGACACCAACCCAACACATAGCTGCCATCTAGAAGCCCTCTCGCAGCTGGCAACAGCTGCATTGCAGAGAACTTCATTCAAAGCTACACCGTATACTAAAGCTTCTGCCAATAAATGCAGTGCCAACTGCCACTGGGAAGCCTTCCCACACACATTTTCCAAAGCGCCGTAAGTGACGACGTCGGGTTCCAAGATTGTTGCTCTCATGATCCTCAAGTGATGCAAAGCCTGCCGCCACCGACCTCCGCCTTTGCACTGACTTATAGCCCTGTTGCATACGACAATTTCAGGCTTGGAAAGGTAGACTTCATGCCACACGTTCTCCATCTGCGAAACGTCTTGCCACAACTTAGACAAACTGCTTGCTGCACGGCCTGGACGAAGTCAATCCGACATGATCACCCAAGATCAGATGATGATGCCTGGAATCCGAAAGGCCGCAGAACTGGATGTTGCCTTGCCCACTCCTTCAAAGACTGTGTCCTGAACATGCCGACCTCAGCAGGAAGGTGGTCTGACAAGGTCGACTAACAAATCTTGTGCCACGTCCGCCCCATACGCAGCCGCGTGATCTATTATTGAGAGGCAAGTCAGCAGGACTTGAGCAAAAGCTGCGCCCATCTTCGAATACAACAACCCATTTCATGCATGTTTTTTCAGAAGTCATGCCTTGCACCCATTGCCCTGTCTCCAGCAAACTCACCGGGGGTGCTGTGCTGCCGTGGCCCTCCAACGTCTCCTTGCAGCACCAGTCATCACCGTCGGGCCCCCACACCTTAGGGCAAGTGGTCAACTAACTTCGCACGATGATATGTTACAACTGCCTGGGTCTTAGTGGGTGGAGGAAGGGATCCTTCTGGAGCGGTCTACTTGTGACCCTCTGTAACAGTCCAACCTATGCCCACTCCCCACTTAGCATCTACCAATCTGCGCGGAGACTGGCCTTCACAGTGTCATCGTAGGAGCAGGAGAACAGCACCTCTTGTTGAGGATGCCATCTCACGCTCTTCACGTCCTGCGCAAAGATTGATCAAAGCAAGTCACATCCATTCTTGTCTCAAATGAGCGGCTGATAACCCTGCGGTAAACAAAACAGCAGCTTCTTGCGAGTTGGGCTGTTTGGGGACCTATCAATAAACCTATGCTGCCTCGGATGTTCCTCTCTTTTGGGGGGTGGGCTCGGTGCTCACGGATGCTCTGTCTCAGTCCCATCTTGGCTCTACAAAGCAATTTAGGTGGTTGCCCACGTGTACTACTTGTCCTGGCTGTGGGACTGAAGCAGCGCCACGCATTCATACTCATCGGTCTCTTCTGAGTCGTACACCCAAACCTGGCCAGGCACTGCTCTCAAGGCGCAATTTGCTGAAAAAACTTGGCCAGAGTCACGGAGCGATCACCTGAAGCAATTGCAGCAAAGGCAAATTGACTGTCAACGACACCCCATGACCCTCATCGTTAATCTCCGCGCTGAGCACTCGGCGGCTGCATGAAGCGAACAGATTTCCTGAGGGGCTATAAGCAACAGACCTCGGAAAAGCAATCCCACGCTTGCTCAGCGCTTATCCGAATCCGAGCGCTGGCTGAGTCACATGCTTGACTTCATTTTCATGACCGCTCAAAACGGTCATACAGTCAAACTCAATTTTGCCTGACAAGTAAAAGTCAACAGCTGGACGGCCACAAGCAGACTTCAAGTAGGCTTCAAAACTCAACGCGGTCTCAGCTCGTTTGATGCTTGTAGAAAGATGTATCAAAACACACAACATAGGAATCAACATAGTGCAAGGGGCATCTCAATTTGTAGAGGTTGCACCTCTGGCGTCGGTCCCTGGAATCACTTTCCAGACCGATATGCTGGCCTCACACAGGCATGAGTGCAGCAGCCCCGCACCCTCCTTTGGTCAAAGAAGCAATTCAGCCGTGATGAGGCCCCAGCATCAAACGAAGCTGCTGCCAGAAGCTTTCCGCAAGGGCTCCACTGCAACAAGGGCGGCATTGACAATTGCTTTGCAAAACTCACGTCAAACTTCACAAAATGCTGGCAGCGTACCGCCAAAGAGCGCAGCGTGCGGGAATGGCGCTCGGAAACGTCAATCTCATGAGAAAGCACCCAAGAGGCCTTGGTCAAAAATCACAGCCGCCCAATGCTCCAAGTTCCCTTGACAGTGTGACATATTGTTACATTGTGCTTCACACAGCTGATCTCTCAGCATCCGACGCTCTGCGCAGGGTCTCTGCTGCCGCAAGTCCACAAGCGAATCACCAAATCTGACCCTCACAAGAATCACAGCTACGGCCATGTCACTAAAACGCTGGAGACGCAGAAACCCGGAAACCAGCTTCCACTTCGGAAGAACCCTTCAACAGCAAGGCATTGTCCAAGACTTCTCATGTTGCTTGGCACTGACGGCCTGACGATGCCAACATAAGCCTCATGCAGCCATGAAGCAGTTGAAGACCAGAGCAACAGCAACGACAAATGCTCCGTAAGCCAGAGACGTGGGGGAGTTGGGTCTCCATGCCACGGACCAAGCGCGCTCCTCATGTCCCCTGCAGCGGCAAAGTCCAAATCGCATGTGATGCACAGCAGACCTCATCGCAGAACCGAACTAGCACAAACCGTCTTAAATCTTCTATCCTTCAGTGTCAGTCAAGTGAGAAACTTCCTGCCTGAGAGAGCAGACCTTCCGCAGACTTGGACCCGCCATTGCAAGGCAATCAAAACGGAAGTGTGTAGAAATGATCACCAAACGACATGCCTTGAACGCTAGTAAACTATAGTAAGCTCCATTGTCAAAGTTTGATTGTATTCGGATAAACTTATCATTGCTTCGCGAAAACTTTGCGGCATTGCTGATGATGCGTCCATGTGCGCTTGACCAGCGTCAACTGCGGAGTGAAACACGGGAAGCCAGCCGACTCCGTCAACAGCAGTAGTCGTAGTCGTTCGTCGTCGTCGTAATCGTAGTCGCAGTCACAGTCGCAGTGGCAGTCGTCGTCGTCGTACTAGTCGCAGTAGCAGTAGCAGTAGCAGTGGCAGTCGTCGTCATCGTCGTCGTCGTCGTCGTCGTCGTCGTCGTCGTCGTGATCGTCGTCGT